ACCAGATCAGAATCCCATAGAAACTGTTAAAATAAGGTTTCTTTAATTAATAAAAATTTAGGTTTAGACGTATATTTGCGTAAAGGATAATATATATATTTTAAAAATAAATTAATACACTTATAATAAATTTGATTAGTACTTTTTTACTTATAAGATACAAAGGCCCCGTTTGGTATAGCTGTTTACACCTAAAATAAATCAATAGGGTAAGGCCACGTGTCAAGGTACAGCCCAATTATCAAAAAAATCAATGGGCTGGATTTGGACTGGGTTGGCTTACAATTTAACGGTCCAGACGGATTTCCAAGGAGGTTGGATCCTAGGTGGCAGAAGATAAGATGGGATCTGGTAGTTTGGGTTTGATTTAAAATGGGAAATTGAGGATTTTTAGGTAGTTATCTTTAAGTTTGTTGCAGATAATGTTAAATAAAAATCGGATAACTATTAAATAACTGCCAGACCTGCAATCCCATTATCAGATCATGGAGGAACAGTGCCGAAAATGGAGGAACAGTACCGAAGATCATGGAGAAGATCATGGAGGAGGTTACCAGCATCGAAGGGAACAAAAAACAGAGAGAAGAGAACAGTTCAAGACCTGCCCAACACACACACAGACTGCCCAGAGCATGTTTTTCAGCTTTCAGACTACATTTTTCAGATTTCAGCAATAGTTTCCAGATTTTCCAGATTAGTTCATAGCCTTAGCCTAGGTTTGTTCATCTTTGTTCATATTTTCTTCTGCAAATTCCAATTTAGATTAGTTTTTAAACATTTGGAAGCAACTTAGCCTTCAAAACAGGTCTGCCCTTTTGATTTGGTTAGTTCTTCTTCCTTTTATGGATTTAGTTATGTTATTTGTTCATGTAAATATGATGAACATTTTCTACCTTTGTTCTTTTGTTTCTGCATAATATCCAGACATGCAGTTTGTTTCATTTTAATTTCCAGATTTAAATTTATAATTTTCTAGACTTTAATCATTTCATAGTTTCTTCTTCAATTTTAGTTGTCATTATGGGCTGCGTAGTTGAAATCATTGTCTGTTATTTTACTTATTCTGTTGTCTGCGAATTTAATCTTTATGACATGTTATTTTCTGTTAATTACTTTATATTAGTTTAATTGCTTTAGGATATTGCATTTATTTTATGATTTGTAGCTTTTATTATACTTGTTTGGTTGTGAAGTCCTTGGAGGTTTCCAAGGCAATTAGTAACCCATTTTGCAGAGCTGTATCCTCTGTTTTGCAACATCGTCTGGGGGCGCAATTGATTTCACAGACGTTCTTTCCAGCCATCCTATTGGAGGTCGACCGCTGGAAAGGAGAAGGGTCGTCTGGAAAATCCTATTTTCTTGTTTTTAGACAAAGCAAGTGGCACGCCTAACATCCAACTCACGTGGTAAAGGCCGGCTGAGGATTTTTGGGGAAACAATAGCGGTTTTGAGGTAGCGGTTAGCGGTTTTACTTAAACCGCTAAATATAGGTGTTTGGTAAATTTATATATTTCGAAACTGCTACAATTAAAGTGTTTGGTAAAGTTTTTTTTTTTTTGCGGGTTAAAACTAGCGGATAGCGGTTAGGGTCCAAATCGCTAGCGGATTGAAAAAGCTAGTTTATGTAACTTTTTGTACCAAACCACTAATGGATTAGAATTT